TTGTCAGTCTGATCCGTTTCAGCTACCTGGCCAAGAAACTGGAGATAGTGCAGTCAGAGGAGCAAGTGGAAGACATCATTCACAATCTGAGAGGTAATCTAACACTGTCCAAAAACAAAAATGTGAAATGTTTCAAGACTGAGCCAGTCCTTGGTAATTTTAGAAAGGCGAAAGTCAATTGAGAGCAAAGCACACCAGCTCGACCGTGCCATTTGAGAACAACATGCCTGCTGGATGATGTTCAGTTTGTGCGGTGATGCGTGGCTGCCTCGATAGGGCCAACCTTGTACATCAGAGGTGCTTCATTTTGAGCATACGCTGTTGGAATACTCACCTGGTTTACTGAATTTGACCTCCCGAACTAGCACTGTCTTTGTGGCATCTTGACACAGTCACAACTCTTGAAATCGAGTTGTGAAATGAACTCGGTGTTGAAATTGTTTGATTCCCAGATGTTCTTTTCTTTGATGACGAGCCGCCACGAACCGACGCCCAGAAGCAGCAGCGGAAGGAAGAAGCCTTCCAGCGGATGCTCAACTTCTTCCCAAGTATGACTCACTTACCCATTTTTAATCCAACTATTAAATTCTGTAGATTCCACGCAGCTGTACTGACAGCAGTGAAATTGTCATTTAATTCAGGATTTTGTAACATGTGATTTTCCTTAAGTATGTCTTTTTGATTTGTGATATAAAATGATATCACCCTGGTATATAAGGCAAGATATGGGACGGAAGGGTACCCCCCTTACCTGCCAAATCCCTATACACAATCTAGACTATTGTTACCTAACACATCCCCTCTAGAAGTCTGTAAAGGATTCCTGAGATTCCGATCAAACAATGACCAACACAAAGGCGGGGGGGTTCTCTCCGTCCCATATATTGCTTCAAATGCACCCCGGTGCCCGTAAAATATCTTGAATGTAAAAATCAAACACATAACATGAGTGCTGTTTAAGTACTGTTCCTATCATGTGCCCAGACTCAGGTGTTGTCTTCCAGTGACGAGATGCTTAATCACTTTCCTTCCAAATTCCAATTTTCTCCTTTTGATGTACACAGAGCAACTCCACCAGGTGATTGGGGAGGATAAATTCAGTGCTGGTCTTCGGTTTGTCTTTGACGGCTTACAGTATCCCAAACTCAACAAGCAGGTCAGTGATCTTTCTGCGTCTGTCTCATTTGTGCTGGACATTCTGATCAGCGTTTAAGCCTTTCTTTCCGCCAGATCCCAAAGTGTAAAGTGAAGGGTGACAAAGAGAGAAATTTGGGCCCAAGAATTTGCTTGGCCCCGAGAAAGAAAAGTGACACCCTTTTCTTTACAGAACCTTGCGTAACTCCAGAAGAACTTTGTTACATGGTTTTACTGTGCATGACTTGATGTGAGACTTTCAATCAGTCTTGTTTACTTTCATTTGTTCCAGCTTGCCTACACATTGCTTGACATTGTCATATTGGAGGCTTTTCCTGAACTTTCAGAGGTGAGTTGATGCCGGTAAGAAGGCCTTGGTGTCCTTCTTGAAGTGTTACTCAAGATTTTTTTGATTTGTGTTAGTCAAATTAGAACTAGATAAAAATGACCTCACCCTGCCCATAGCTGCTGAAGTTTCCAAAGGAAAACACACTTTAAAAACTGCACTGCATTTGCCCTCCAAGAAGAATACCTGTCTGCTTTTCTGTCTCCAGAGTGTGAAGGAAATACCAGGAGAGACATAGCCTCCTTGATGTCTGCAGAGTAACTGAGCAGTAGTGCAGGCATAAAATGCTTGGATAGAGTCGGCATGATTACCTATAGGCTTCTGAAAATCGGTGCCATATGAGATTTTGTCCCCCCGTGTAATCCAGTTCCTCCTGCAGTGGACTCCCAGCCTCGATGTCTCCATTAGTCATTGTTCAGTGAGTTAGAGTCATGTACATTTGCCAGTGGCCACCAGTCAGTCCATATTACAATGTTGGAACTAGTATTTATTAGGATTTCTGTTTATATTTAGAAAGCAATGCAGTTTTTCTTCTGCCATGCTGGATCAGAATAGAAATGTGTGGGCATTTTGGACCATCGCAAAACCTGCCTCTCTGGATCAAAGTTCACAGATTTGATGAAACCATTTTGTATTTTGAAAGTTTAAATTTACAGAAATTGGGAGCAACTCTAGAAATCTCTTGAAATTTGATATTTTAAATTGATTTACCTTGTTCTCTGTTTTTGAAAGTTTTTTCAACAATAATGGAGTAATGAAAAATTGTTTAAACATGAGTATTGCGGATAATTATGAAACTCGATAAAATGGTATTGACAAGAGCTTCATTTATTGGAACTTCGGACAGCTATGTTGTGAAAAGATAGATGCAGAGGGCTTTGATGATAGTTTTCCATGTTTTGTGATCACTGTCCTGTGAATTCAATGAAATGCATGCAGGCCATTTCAATCGAAAGTGAAAAGAAAACATAACACAGAAAATCGAGACACATGACTCATTGGGCCAACTGTATACCTTTGTAGAATTTATTGTAGAATGTAATCAAGATGTGCAGTGTATATGATAAAATATCAAGTTGATTTTTGTGTATAAATTATTGCTTACAAATTGCGGCAGCCAGTCGAGTTGACTTTTTTGTATATGATTTGAAACTGGCCCTTGTACATGTGTATATTTTACAGAGCAAGAATTACAACACAAGTGAGCATTCTACTGAATAATTAAATACTAACCTGAAAGACAGTAGGAGTTCCATATGTATGGACATCACTAATTTCCCTTGCAGTGGTTTATTAGCTATCAAAAAGTGATACCACCCCCTAAAAAGTCACATTTAGTGGTTGAAAATATTGAAACATTTACTTAGAAAGACATTTTCAGACCAGTCTCATAGGGTTTGTGCACAGGGTGTCACGTGATGTCCAGATAAGGTACTCTTTCTGAAAGTAAACTCTTGGCCGTTAATTACTACTATTAGGGCCTTGGGCCAGAACCTGTATAACAGCATTCTTCCAGATTGGAGTTTTTCGATCCTGGCTTTTGATGCAAATGCACCAAACCCTTGCGAAGATCGCAGGGTTTCCTGAATGGCTACAGTTTATCTCTGACAGCATATGTTAAAAATGTTTCCTCATTTCGGAGTAGGCTACCTTACCAGACACGGTACCATTCCAAGGAAGACACATCAGTAACCATTGTGTTTTTAAAGAAACTGCTATGAAGCGAGAGAACACTTTGATATTGTGCAATAAAACTGCCACCTGTAACACCTTAATTACAAAAGAAAACTGGAGTTGCAATTTTGTGCATTATTGTCACTGTAATTATACTTCTTGAGCAACTAACATGAATCAGCTGAGGTCATCAGAGCTTGGCTGATTCTAGAAAGCAAATTTTAGAGCACCTCATGGCCTATTAACATGAACACAATAGGATCAGGGGCTACCTGATTGACTCTCTTTGGCTTGAGTGATTAGCAGTGCGAGAACAAGGGATCTTCTTTTTCTATTAAAGCAACTATCTCCCTTGGGAGGTACACCGTGAGCAAATGGGGCGTTAACCAGTAATTAAAAACAATCTGTGGGTTTCGGTACACAATGCAAATGGTACTCCATTGTTTTTTTAACGTTTCTACCCGTCTCCTGTACATGGAGGTACACTATGGATTTGTTAGCCTTCGCAAAACATCCACATTGCATCCAACATGCACTGACTATGATACAAGTGCTCTAAGGGATAAAAAGCACACCATGCCCTCAGTGAAGTCTACCCTTCACAGCAAATTTACCCTGGTTTCCATGACAACTGAGAAAACATCCCCACTGATTTGAATGCCCGTCCATCACCAGGTATCATAGTTTTAGCCCCATTTCCTGGTGGCTTTGGAGAACTTTTTTCCAGTTCCACAGTCTCAAATGCTACAATGCACTCTTTTATGAGAACAGGCTACATGTACTCCACATCTCATAATATCACTGTCCTTGTTAATTTACACACCTCAGTAGAGGGAGGCAAATTATTACTTTTTCCCAGGAACATAAAAAAAAAGGCCAGCAGCTTGATTCGAACCCTGGCCCTCAGATCACAAGTAAGGAGTCCACCCTCCTATTAACATGGCATACATCTCCCCAATCACAGCAATATAACTACCAGTGCAAGTTTAATCAATTAACAGAAATCCAAAAAATATTGCCTCATCCTTCTTTGTCACCTCTGCCTCCTACTCGGGCATCTGCAGCTTGCTGACCGTGTCCTTGAACTCCTTCTGGATCTTCTTCAGCGTGTCCTGGCCGCTAGGTTGCATCAGCTCAATGGCGGTCATGGCCAGGGCCTTAGCTTGGATCAGCGTGGGACCCTGGGCCTCAGGGGAGCCTTGATAAGTAGGGACAAATGAACAGTTTGCCAATGATTAAAACAGGTCTTCCACCACATCAGAACTGTTCTGCCTTCCAGGCTTATCTCGCAAATATTCATATCCACACATCACCCTCTTGCCTCTTTTACTCCATTTCTCTTTACTCTTTGAATAAGCACCTTGAATACACCAGAAATTTGGCACTAGGGAAATGCAGTTATATTAAGATGGCTTCTCCCACATCAAATGAGTTTCCCAGCATTCCATTACCTCATGAGCGATTTCTTGTTTACATGCCAACAAAACTGGGTTTATTATTAGTTCGAAGGCTTTAGGAAAAGACAAGATTTTTTTTTCAAAAGAGGTAGATTTTCACACCCCACCAAAATCCCCCATCCATCCACACAGGTTTATTTCTGAAGTTAGCTGATGACTTTCCAGTTTCCTTTGTATGGTTTTTCTCCTTTTAACGTTCGTTCAACTCCTTTTATTTGATCCATACACAGGTTGAGACTGAGGACATCTTACAAACGGAGGGCCTCATGTTATTCTCTTAGGTCTGTGTACTCAGTTTACATCAAAATCACACACTCACACCTCTCATCACATTTAGGCTTGACAAGAATGTAGAAGTAACAATGCAGCCACAAATTTTAAAATGAGGTCTCACTACAAGAAAGAAGTCAGGACATTTTTTCACCACAAATTTATAGTTTTCTGATGTCATAGTAAATTGTTTCTTAGAACTGGAATCATTTGATTTTCATCTGGAATCACTTAGCTGTGGCATAATCTTATTTATTCATAACAGTCTGGTGCCTGGAACATGTCAGCTTATCTTGTTTCCCCCTTCATTTTTTTTTGTGGAGGGACCGTGGCCTGACTTCCATCCCATCACCATGAGACTAAGCCAATTGCAGGAATAAGTGCAGAAATGGTAGCATGCAAGCAGGCAGATGGAGTAAAAGCAAAGGGATAGCAAGGTGGGACTGCTGAACTGACAGCTTATATGCGGGACAGAACTTGAAACAAAAATATTGCCTTGAATATAATTAGACTTGAGAGATTTTTCTGAGGAATTAAATGCTATGGGTGAAGTGTGTTAATTTCAAGCACTGTGTGTGACCTTTGATGTTTCTCTTTCTGATGAATGTATACCGTACACGTAGGACAGAAAAGGTGTGTCAGGTTGATACCTTATCCATGGCACAGTTGTGAAATGTCAAAGGATTCTTTAAGACTTTTCTTGTTGTGACAACAGAATTTAGTGCTATCTCAGAAAAAATGAGAAATCTTAAAAATTTGGAAAATCTCAAAGCTTTTCAATGAGAAACACAGCACATGTACACTCCCAGAAATCGCACTGCAAAACGCTGCTGAGATTTGTGATGCTTTCTTGAGCACGTGAAAACAATGGGCCTAATTCACTGGCTTGCATCCAAAGGGCTCCCTGTGCAAACAAATTAGTTTGGTCAGTCTCCCATGAAACTGACCTGCCACTGTTGTGAATGGTCCCGTGTGGGTGGCAACATCTCCGGGCCCCACGGCAAATTTGGGATGGATACTGGGGACCAGGTAGGACACATTGCCCATGTCTGTGGAGCCCCCTTGCCTCAGGGCCTCGTCCGTGCTAAACTCAACGCCCATTCTCTGCACATGTGATTCGTACATGCTGGACAGCCCGTCATTGGTGATTAAGTTGGCATATGTAATGTTGGTTCTGAACTCCACCTGACAACAGCATGGAACAAGATCAGATATGGGGTACTTGGGAGACATCTGTTGCACACCAGGTACAGATCTGAAGGGCGGGACACCCAACTGTTCAATCCTACCCCTAATACTTTGGCAAGCGATTTGTACTTGAATAAGATCCACACTCATCTCAAAATTCCACTAGACCTTTAGCAGCTGGGAATTTTTGCAAGTGATTGTTGGCACTGTTAGCTGTACAGCCGGAAAAACAAGTGTATGCTTGGTACTATGTACAACGTACCACCTAAAATGGTTGACACCCACCCATATCACCGATGTTGCTCCAGGTTAAACCTAGGTCCTTGGCATACTTCTCCCAGGTTGCTATCAAGGGTGCCGTTTGTGATCAACATTGGAACAACAAATGGGACTCCTCATCTGTACCCCATTTATGACATTAGATTTAACGGCAAGGATACAGAGAAACTGACACTTACCAAAAACAGATCTGCTTAGAAACATTTGAACCAGACTCATTCATTACTCAACAATCTCAGTGTGAACAGTGTGATCATCTACATTAGCCAGGACTGGCTAAGTCTAACCATGGTCAATTTTCCAAGACCAGCCAAGCTTTCTCATTTGACAACCACATATGATCAAGTTGAATTATACACAAGTAAACATCGGTACTGCAGCATAACACATGATCTAACCCTGGCACCTACAGGGTCAGCCAATCAAATTGCACAGAATGGAGAGGCCATCGCATAAGGCTGTTGATAAAATGCCACAAAATGAAGTCAAGACACTAGGACTCACTCAAGCTGGACTGGCTCCAGAAATCATTCTGCCTCATATCTTGGCTAGCACAATCACCGTTGCATTTTTAATGTTGTTGTTATTGTTATACTTACACTGTTTCTACTTTTATTGTTCATATTTTTACTGTTTATATTTATGTTTGACTTTTTAAAATTGTTAACAAATGATTAATTCAGCTGATGGCTGCCATTCGTGTAGAATAAACCATACTGAAATGAAATGAAAAAAATGAAATGGTCTACAGATTTAAGACGAACGCACTGTGCTGGGTCTGACTGCTGCTCTGCTGCTAAGTTGCTCATGGTTGGGCAAGTGTATTAACCACTTGCTGCCGGGTGGTTTGAAAAGTGCAGTGCACATAATCAGGACTTTTTCAAGATTTTAAGTTTTCAAAATTCTTCAAAAATTTATCATTTCAATTAATGGACGTTTACACCCACACAAATTACTGTCTGGTGCCACTCTAGACAGACAAAATCTATTGACGCCCGAGTATTTCAGCCAGGCCTGCAGCCTTGTAAAAAGAGCCCAGATTGTGCAGTGTTATGTAACATTCTTTTGTTCACGAACCTGGCACACTGTGCTGCTAACCTCTTTTCAATAGGGGCCAGATTAGCATGCAGCGGTGCTGTGGGGCTCATCGCTGCGGTGGTGGAGTGCTTTTGTCCCCAGTGGTAATCCACTTGCACTAAATGCCCCAAACCATGATATACTGTTTTAAAACAAGGCTGGATTATCTCCACTATTGACCGTGAAAAAATGTCGGTAATGCCCAGCAGCCTGGTCATTTGTTCCGAGTACGGTCTTTTGTTACAAGGCCCAGTTCCCTTTTCCAATTTCGGAGACACCGGCCACGCGTATAAACACACGGTGCCTGAAACCGGGCTCCTCGGCAGGAAGTGGTTAACAGTCGCTTATCTGTAACTGTAGACACAAATGTAAAAAGCCTTGCAAATGTGTAACTATTACATGTTAGTGGTGGAGATCTGTTCATAGTATTGAAGCAGAGTGAACGGATAATACGCAAGCAGCTCCCTTTACCCTGGCATATTGCACGCCAAAAATGAAAAGTGAAAAAAAAAAGGCATAACCAAACAGCTGCTTGCAATCTTTGAGGGCTGCATAGCCTTGTTAGTCATTCCCCTGTTTACATGTCACTACCAAAAAGTCTGGTTCATGGTCTCAGTTTTTTTAGCTAGAATATGCACCTTTGTAATATCGGGTATCAGAGGCAGGGCACCAACCGACAAGTTATAAATGCATTCCATAATTCCGATTTACCTGTGGCAGCTGTGAATTCACGCATGTGAATGTTGGCCCTGTCCGTTATGCAGAACATTGGGTGAATGCCAGGCACCTTGTAGGATGTTTCACCAAAATCTGTTGACCCGAAACTCATACTGTGTTCCTCCCACTGATAACCGAGGCTCCTGGCATGCGTCTCATAGATGGTTACCAGGATACAATTGGTAATCACATTAGCCCATGAGCTCTCAGTCTTTACCTGCAACTGATTTTTTGGACCCCAATTTCAGCATGCAAGTATACAGATCCATGGCGTAACAATGAGCTACGACACTTGTGAAAAAAGGGGTAATTGGTTATTAGGCAATACATGTACATATATTTGGTCAAAGCAGCTTGTCCAACCTGGCTTAAAGTATAGTGCGAATCCAGACAAAAAGTGAAGAAATTGTAAAAAAGTTGTAGTTGTAGAATGCATCAAAATTTTTGCTTCAGACTGGTCAGTGGAAATTGACCTTGGACTGTGTCAAGACTGAAGAAGACCCCAAGCTTTAGCACCAATGTAATGTTAACACTAGTCCCCGCCTCATGGCATGAAACATCTCTCGCTCCAACTGTTGATTCGTCCTTCTTACACCACTTCTAAGAAAGCCTCCTCAAATCCTGGAACTCTCAGCTGAAACCAAATACTGTCCATCTACTCTTGTCATCTTTATCCTGAAACTAGCAGCGGTCAAACCCAACCTCCCAACAATGTCCAAATGAAGAGATCCTCCAAGAGATAATGTGCAGACCTCTCGTTAAGCCAGGCTGGGCTCAGACTGACCATTTCCACTTTCTTTGTTCTCATCTGATTAAAGAGATCGTCCATTAATTCTGGCAGAATGACCTTGCAAGTCAAGCAGGAACATACATACAGGGTGCAAGGTTGATGCTGATTCTTAACAGCTGCTCACAGTCCTGAGGACAACGTTCGACTAGCAAAACACTGAGAGTGGAGTGAATGACTTTTCACAGGAGGCAAGACATCTCTTCTAAATCTGTCACATTATTTCAAGGGAGGAGAGAGTGCAGAGTCAGGCACACATGAAATGTTTACACTGATGATGTGTGTGTGTGTGGTAGTGGTGTCACTGCGTTAATGGACGCAGCTTGTGGACTATACACTGAATATAAAATAAAAACACTTTCACAGGATACCAGAAGGCACACATTGAGGTGTTGAGTAAAGGAACTTGGTCATTTGGCATATGCTAATGCAACTGGCAAAAATTTCAGGTTTTGTCTTCAAGGAAGGAGATGGGTTGATGTTGTAGTCGAGTACTTTTTGAGTACCAAGCCCATGGCCAATTAGTCTTCACGCTTAACCATTTAGCAGTGAACTTAGCGCTCGGAATGTACTCAGCTTCAACACTGAGCGGGGATGGGCTTTCAGCCCATTTTATTTGTTCACTTTTGCCTGAATTAATGCCCTCAGCCCACTGCCATGTGCATGCACCTGCAGAAACCTAAAGCAATTGGAAGCAAAACTAAGACAGAAATTCGACTCTCAGTGTACCTGCCGTGGCCGTAAATGCACGCATGTGGTTGTTGGCAGTGTCCGTTATACTGAACATCGGATGTATGCCTGGTACCACGTAAGACGCATTCCCGAAATCTGTTGAACCTGCACTCATTCCCGGGTCTTCGTCCCACTGAAAACCCAGGTCCCTGGCATACTTCTCATAGATGACTACAAGGACAGTGTTGGTAATAACATTGGCGAACGACACCGGGCTCCTGATCTCCACCTGAGTAGGGATAAATGGCAACACTGTCCGATAGCACAGATCTCATATGATCATTGTAACATCAGTCATGCATGATTACTGATTTATCATAGAATTATTTTGACAAATTGTTACCACTGAACAGTCAACCAAGTGCCTTTAATGGCCTTCAGGATGGACACAAGTAACTTGTCTAGCAGCAGAATACACCGAGGAAGCCTTGTCACTCCATCAATACCTATTGTTTAACTGGCCTCTGGTGCCAACTGATTACTCTCCACATGCATCAAAGGCTCCTGGACTGAGAAAACTAGCTAAAGGTTGGAGAATCTAAGCTTCGCATCAAAGTATTAACCCTTTAGAGTCAATCCCTCCATTACACTGCAAACAAATTTCTCACTGCTGTGCTTTTGAGGCTGATCGTGCCTCCCAGTACTGTCTCCAAGGTATCAGTTACCAGGAAAGCTTCCTTAAGACCCTCTCAAACTTTCCAGGGCACCAAATGATCTCAGTCCACTCTTAATATACTGGCAGCCCATGCATCTACAGAGGTTGCATTTAAGAATCCTAGCCAACCTCCTGAAAATCGCCAAGTAGCGTGATCATCTGAAGGGTGTGCAAACCTGGCCTTTCAACTCTATGAACCAAGTAGGACTTGGTTAAACTACTTCAACTTGGTTTCCTGTTTGACTTAAGTGACTGGTCATTGTTTTCCAGTTTGACGACTAGTAAATCAGGCAGGATTTATGTAAATACGTTTTCATAGGGGTACTATGGCTTCTTGAAGCTTTTTACCATCATGTCAACCATGTTACAGGACCCAGATGCTAAACACTGAATAAGTGAAACCTTTTCACATTAAGGCAACAGTAGTCCTTTTTTCTGAGTCTACACTGTCATATTATTAAAGTGAAAACTACATTATCATTTAGACAAATGGACTTTTGAATTATTGACATATTTGCCAAAATACCTCCTTGATGCCGGCTTCGTTTTGTCTTCAGTTATATTACTATTATACACGTGGATGCTTTCCAAGCATCTAGCTTTTCTTGAGGGTGGGAGGGTGTTGTAATGTTTTTTACCACACCTCATAAATATTCATGAGCAAATTGGAGCACGTCATTGGCCAATTCCACCTCGCGTTAGGGAAGTAGAAATGATACGCGACCAGGTGACATCATAGCAGTGAGTATCCGCCTCGCTGCCGTGCAGTAGTTTTTTCTGGTAGCATAAAAAATCCCTCTGGAACCCGCTGCGTAAATATGTAGCCTGTGTCATGTCATCTTTATGGAACCAGTCTGGAGTTGTATCCTAATAATTATTACAGTAAAGACCCAAAACGTATGTCAGCACCAGACTATTGAAGCCCTGTTTCTATGCACATCTGCACTCCACTATCATTACATGGAAATTTAGCAGCTGAGAAACAACAATGGCGTCTGTGAGTACAACTCAACGTGAGATTTCTATTTGAATGTTTACGAAGTGTAGTAAAACAAATACAGCATGGTTTATTTCAGGGAAAAAAGTGGGAATTACTGGTCCCGAGGTGTAGGTCAGTTTGACTACCTCCCGACGTGAACTACTTCCCCTCAAACCATGCTGTATTTGTACACTACCTTGCATTTGGATTTCTTGAGTAAAGATGGCTCTTTCTTTCTTGCATTTACATGTAAGACTTGAAGGATTGCCTAATGGTGATGGTGGTGGTTGTTATTACATGGCATTAAGGGGTTAAATAATATAAATATTGTAATCCACGCAGATTATGAAGCAAACACGCATCAAAACAAGTAAAAGGCCTGAACTGTTGAGGCATGCAGTGACAATGATTTACCCCACAGTCCTATGAAAAGTACAGCTTCCTGAAGTTACCTCCCCCTGTGCAGCAGGAGTTGGTGAGGGAGGAAATAAGGGGGAGTGTATCATCCCGTATTGTTGGCTTGGTTTAAATCTATAATCTTGAAATATGAAAATTAAGTGCCTCAAGCATTCAGAAGCCAAGCAGCTGCACTGAGCTACATACACTGTATTGTGGCATAATTCCATTTATACATGTACCTGCCCCGTCTGTGAATTCGCGGGTGTGGTTGTGGGCACTGTCCATTATATGGAACATCGGGTGTGTGCCCGGCACCACGTGCGACACGTCACCAAAATCTGTTGAACCCTTGCTGTCATCCTCACGCAAGGTTAAACCCAGGTCTTTGCTATATTTCTCATACACTGCTATCAGAGTGCTGTTTGTGACGACACTGGCAGATGAGACCGTAATCCTGGCCTCTATCTGAATGAGTAGAGATAAATGGTAGCATGATCTGGGGCCAACCGTGGATTGGCTTTGGATGCTTGAGCTCAGGAAACATCATGGACGTAACTACTGCAAAACCAGAACACACTGCAAGAGTTTTATCTCCATCAAAATTCATTATACTCTACCGACAGAAATTGATTACTCTTGGAGTTTGTTCCCAGAATCAACACTTCAACTGAGAAGAAAGTCTGGAAACCTCGGCACCTTCATGTAGGACTGGCAGCAGAGTAAAATTCCAACATCAATCCCTCCATCACATCCACGCCCATAGCTTTTGAAGCAGATTTCCCAATTCTGTCATCACCTCATATTTCTCAGATAACAATAAAGTCCATTTTGAAACTTCCTGGAACTGTCAACAAGCCCATGCTCCCTGGGACTCCTGCTGTCTGCCTCTTGAGGCAGATATCACACCAACCCCTGGAGGGCACCTTTAAACATCTCGGACCACTTCCTGACGATCATAGACTACCAAGGCCATCTAAATGACACTGTGTGAAACCAAGCAATTTGTCTCTTTGGGCCAGAGCTGGTTTCGTATTGCCATCCCATATTTATTTTCACAGACTTGGCCCGAGTTTTCTGACTGGATGGCCTCAAGCGATCAAGTTAGCTCCATAACCGGTATGAGTACGCAGGTGCTACACAGTCTCCGCCTGCCTTTATCTTGCCTACCACTGCCCACAGTAACCAATAAAATTTCGCTCAGCTGGGATACCACTAGCTACCCTCATGGCAACAAGGACAGGAGGCCGGTCTGCAACAATATCAGGATACAGTGGACCTGTTTCACAACTTACAAAGATTACTACACTGATGATGCACAAGCTCGACTGTTCCCCCCAGCAGAATGAAGACCAGTAATTGTGCGGTGCTTCTTTTTCCTAGATGCCTGTTGCCAAGTTGATATTTCAGAGCTAAAATATCCACACTGAACCATGGACATGGGTCTCCCCTGTGCATGAATGATAAGTTGTGGACATGCACCAACTATAGAGTGAGAAAACTGTGCACGAATTCAATATGTCGTGTAAGTGTCTGTGAAACAACCGCAAGAAACTTCTAGTTCCTGTACCATTTTCCAGAAGAATAGTGAAAAGAACAGCAGACTGCTCAAACCCCTGCATACCGTGCCAGGTGTATTCCTTTTTACCTGCAATTACTTTGAATTCATCTAAAGTCTGGGGGCAGTTGGCTGCAATCGAGTACATCGGACTGATACTGGGCACAACCCGAGAGGTGTCCCCAAAATCAGTCGCTACCAGCGCCCTGTTTGGTTGGCCATTTTTGGGCTCAAGCCCTAGCTCCACGGCGTGCTTCTCGTACAGGGTGGCCAAGATGTCATTAGTCAGCAGTCTGGAATGCGTGGTTCCATCTTCCACAGTGCCCTCCAAGTGAGCATGCCAGTGAATGGTAAAATTAAAGTCTGACTTTTTGAGAAACGTTTCGCAATAACATACTTACCTTGACCAAATCTGAGCTAACATGGGTTTCGAGAAATGAATCTATACTTGAAGAACTGCATACATGTTCATAATGTGTCTGTTAGATACTGGGGGAATATTCGGAATGTTTGTGCCAACCCGGTGAGCGAAGTAAAGCACTCTGTGTCTTTAACGCAATTGCTTCTTTTAACCGGGTGTAAAACTGCAATAGTAGAGTTGGTCATTGTTGAGTTGATGCTGGATAGTGTCTGGCTGTATGAGCAGGCATGAACTGGAGTGCTGGAAATGTTCCGAACGTCTGAAAATCTGAGCTACCTGAGGCTTGAGTAAAGCCATGCGAGTGATTTGCGGCCTCGGTGCAAATGCTGTAAGAAGGATGGATTCCTGGCAGTACGTACGAAACGTTCCCAAAGTCAGTGGACCCACATGGTGTGGATAACACGGATGGATCGATGGGAAAATCTGGCACAATTTCATAAACATATTTCTCATAGAGTGAACTAAGGCCGCTATTTTGGTTGATGTTGGCATAACCTTCACGTAAGTTAACATCCACCTGAAATTTTTGACACAGTTTAAGACATGTAATTAGAAATTCTGATGTAATTTTATGAACGTATGGTATCTAGAGTAGGCAATACTTGAATAAAAGTCGTCTCGATTCAAACAGATCTGATTATGATGAAACTTGGATAAGATCTGGCCCAAGTTTTAGCAAAAAATGTAATGGAGATTTGACCCTCCCCCCAAAAAACACGTGTGTGCCACTGCTTAAGTTTAAGACTGTGGTTGTTGCCTGTTAGCTACAATCTGCTCTCTGATCTTCAAAAATGGTGATTCAAACAGTAAAGAACTGTGCTATGCAGAGCAGGGGCTGTCCTGCACCTCATTTTTCTCATCGGATCTGCTTCACCTGATACAGTATTAAACACTGAGTTCAGCAACGTTTTGTCTAGAAATTGCGACAGATTAATGGAAATCACCATATGTGCGCAGTTGTGCAAGCTTTGACTTTGAGTAAGCATTATTTTCATGCATCTCCTATTTTAATCAAGCAGCTACTTCAAAACTGGGGCCTGGTCTGAACCCCTCAGTCCAGATTTACAGAAAAATTTCAGTTCTAAAAGTACCCAATGCATTGATGGAGAAAAAAAATATTTCTTACCAAAAAAAATCAGTCTGTAATGAAAATTATTTTCTTCACAAAAATGTTAGCATTTTGACACTTTGCCAGAATTGAACACCAACCTGACATTCCGCTGCCTTGGCAGCACCTTCTGCACACGCCCTAACTTTCCTCTTCAACACTGAGAGTTCGCCCTCGTCAATGGCTCGCAGATAGTAGGTCAGCTCTGCCTCTTCGGGAATTATGTTGGGGGCAGCACCGCCATTGGTGAAAATTCCTACGGATTGAGATGCAAAACACAACGTCAAGTGTAATAGGCCAACGAGGCTATATTGCATTAACAGAGGAAGCCAGGAATGTATTGGTAACACATCTAAGAAATCAGATGCGCACACTAACTCTATGTGGAGTAGCGAGAGATGGCGTCATTCAAGAAATCTCTCTCTCGCACGATAGATATCACCTACACTTGCTGCCACAACCTACTCCACATTGCTGCCTCCACCTGGCAAACCTCCCAAAAGTATTCTCCACAATCCCTCATTAACAAGGAATCACATATTTTTAAGGGCCATCGATCAAGTCATAAAGACAGAGCTGTATCCTTCTAAAACCTATAAAAACCACAAAAACCTCCAAGTGGATTTTTCCAGGATTTTAGGTTAGAGTCTCCACATTAATTTAAAAAATCACTGATTCATAAATACCAAATATCTTTGAGGATTGGAACAATATCCTGGAATGTACCTCACACCAGTCAGGAGTAAAAATCTCTTTATCTTCTGATCAAATCAGGCAATTTTCAATGCATGGATAAGTGAAAAAAATGCCGGAAGAGATGAAAAAATGACAGGGTCAAATTCTATGGACAGCAATGGAAGAGTATTACTTGTTTCAGGGCAGTGTGTTTCTTTTTTGAAAAACACTATGCCTCTTCCAGGAATCATGCTAAATGTCAACTTTTTGTCTCTGCAGAGCAGACTGGTAAAAAATGTGACAACAGCATGATTTGAAAGTAAGCAGTGGATGGATCAAGTGGCAAGCCATTCTGAAAAATATTGCTAACTTTGCACAAATATTTACAGAGCAGATTCCATGAACTCTGCATGCTGGCAAGATTTTAAACTTCACATTGTGAGAAAGTAAGCTGTGGAAGGATTACATGGTTAAACCAAGGAATGATAATTCTTTTAAATGATAAGACGTTTGGAAAAGAACTGCCAACTTCTTAACAGACTTTTCTGCAGAGCACGTACCGTGAACCCTGCATGTCGGTTTGATCTGCTGTCTCATGTTACTGATGGCCTGGTAGCACATGACTGCTGCATCCAAGGCATTGTTACCATCCCAGGGTGCCGCAGAAGCGTGGGAAGCCTTGCCTTGGAACTTGATAATGACACTGGCGAGAAAATAATTGTATCTAAATTCTTTTGGGAGGCAAGTTTGAATGTAAACTATGGTTCGACTGCTGGAAAATATCCAGTTTTGTGCATTGTGTATACAGACTACTAAACATTTTAAATTTTTGAATAAAAGTCTCAATCTTTGTATTGGTGTGGTTTTGGTCTTGATTATGGTTTTGGTCTTGATTATGGTTTTGGTCTTGATTTTGGTTTTGGTCTTGGGTTTGATCTTGGTTTTGGTCTTGATTTTGGTTTTGGTCTTGGTTTTGGTCATGATTTTGGTGTTGGATTTGGTCTTGATTTTGGTCTTGGTTTTGGTCTTGGATCTGGTCTTGATTTTGGTCTTGGTTTTGGTCTTGATTTTGGTCTTGATTTTGGTCTTGGTTTTGGTCTTGGTTTTGGTCTTGATTTTGGTCTTGATTTTGGTCTTGATTTTGGTCTTGGTTTTGGTCTTGGATCTGGTCTTGATTTTGGTCTTGGTTTTGGTCTTGATTTTGGTCTCAGTGTTAGTCTCAAGCTTGAACTCCAAGTCTCGGTCTTGGACAATGGTCACTCTCGATTTCAACACCGCACGCTATGCTGTGGGTTAAATCTGTCATTGTGTTAATGGTCCCTACAGTGTCACAAAATAA